AGAAAAGAAAACTGGGAAGTAAGCATTGTAAAGATGGTAAAACTGGGAAGTAAGCATTGTAAAGATGGTAAAACTTGGATGCTTCTTAGAAGGAAGCTGCTGGCATCTCTAACAGGCCACTGAAAAATACAGTGCCGGGCAGGTGATGGCCTGACAATAAGGACTTGGACTTGTCCTGCGCTTTAGGTGGGGGTGAAGGCAACTGTAAAAGCTACTTCTCTTAAACAAAAGGTGAAAAATGACCCACAGGTTCAAAGTGCCACCATGTGACACCTGTATTAACCCCATCAGAGACCTGGGCCCTCAGAAAGAACACACAAGCAAGTCCTTAAGACATCTAGAGAGCCAGTGAGGGAAAGCAAAGTGAGACCCGATGCAGTGGCAGGGACAAGCCAAGTGAGACGAAATCCAAGGACTTGACCCATCCAGGGCAGGGTCTTACCCCCAGCTCACACCAACCACACAAGCAGCTGGGACTGATGGGGAAACGATGCACAGGAACAGGGAGCAGAGACAAAGTCTGTGGTGCAGCTACTGAACAGCAGCAGCTTAGCGTTCTCCTGCTGCTTACAGGGAAAAGAGCAGGGCTCTCCAGCAAACTTCCAGCCCCACACAGGGCAGGGTGCAGACAGACAGGAGTGGCCCAACCTCTCTGATATGGGGATAGGAAAACCAGCAGTTATCTCGGAGAACAGAGAAGTAGAACACATGGAGTCTTCTATGTCTCATCTTTATCTGTACAGAAATTAGGACAACCCAGTGTGGATGGGTGGACAAGCTAGATGGGAAAAACTGGTTGGATATTAAGGCTCAGAGTGTGGATGTTAATGGGTCATTCTCTACCCAATGGCCAGTGACTGGAGGACACCACAGAGGACACCAAGTTTGCAGGTAACACCAAACTGGAGGGAATGGTCAATAGCCACAGGAACAGGGGTGCCATGCAGAGGGACCTGGGCAAGCTGGAAGAATAGGTCAGCAAGACCCCCATGAAGTTGGAAAAGTACAAATGCAAAGTCCCATGTCTGGGAAAGCAGCAGCTTTGCAACGACACGGGCTGAGGAGCAGCTCAGCAGAAAAGGCCCTGGAGGTGTTGGTAGACAGCAAGCTGGACCAGAGCCACAGGGATAGGGACTTTCTGAACAGAGGGAATCTCCTTTCCTCTAGCACAAGTGTTAACGAAGACCCCACCGAAGCCTTGCTCATGAGCTGGTGGTGATGCCCAGAGTAGCACAGAAAGGCTCTCACATCGCTGGTCCCCAGTGCCACGCATGGATCATCATTCTGGTGACATTCAGCTTGCAAAGGTGAGTGATTTCATTTCCAAGTCAAATAGTGCAATCTGCATGCTCCAAGAGGGACGGAGCAACTCGCAGCATTTGAAAGGTCTTCTGCAATCATTCTGTCAACCTGGCATTAGGGGAAAGAGAAACCCGGAATGCTGCAGCTGCACTCAGCCTTTTTCTAACAACCATGAGAAGCTGTGGACAGGTTGACCTTTGAGCTATCCCACGCTAGGAAAAAGCTGTAGTAGTGAGGGTGAATACCCTTATCACAACATAAAAAAGTACCTCTTGAAAGAAGACTCACGAGTCTTCACCCTCCAAAGAGGCAAAACACTACCCAGCATTGCCATCCTGAACTTAACCTTGTGAATCCAGGATTTCAGTTCCCCAGGATCCAGCACAAACCACCGGTGGGAGGGAGAACACCAGTGACTGCCTGAACCACCACTCACAGGGTTCACACAACTGCCACCCGTGTGCCTGGCCACACATCCCACTCTTCTGCTGTTACCTTCCTGTGGTTTGAATATGGTGGTGGGTTCAGCCCATCAACAGCAGCAGCTGCTGGTTTCACAGTCCCAGCTTTAGTGCTTGTTCTTCCTTCTCACCATGGGCTCCTGACCCATAGCATACTCCAACCAACACCCAAGTGCAGCCAGTGAGCACCTTAAGGCCTATGGGAGCTTGGAGAGACAACTGGTGCTTTGGCAGCACTTTGTTTCTGATCAGTGATGCTGCTAAAGCAGCTGGAAGGGAAAAAGCAAAAAAGTGACACCAAAATCCCAACATTCCTCTCATCCAACTCATTTTGAGTATGCAGCATCCTCCCTGAGAAAGGTCATCTCCATCCTGTGAGGACATATTTAGATGAGGCTGGGGAGCTTTGGGAACGGCTGCACCTGCACAGGGGACTCCCTTACATGAGTGATGGATGAAGAGTCAGCTAAGAGCAACTGAAGACAGATGCAGGTACAAACCTGGCTCAGGAAAACAGAGATTGAGATTGCCAGAAGCTGGGAAGATACTTTGGGAAAACTCTCACCTCTAGAGCACCCTGCTCTTGCACTCCTTGAAGCCTGCTACAAGCCATGAAGAGGTGAGACTCTCCCAGCGCTCCTGCCCCACCACACAGGCCATGAGCTGGGGTCAGATGCCTTTGTCACAGGAGGAACCCAAGGCAGAAAAAGGTGGCCTATCAGCCCAGGCAGTGGGATGCTGATTGGCCTTAGGGAAGTGATTACAGCTTCTAAACCCTCTACTCACTGCTATCTTGAGTCCCCTCAGGCCACCAACAGGGAGCTGTCTGATTAGCAACAGCAGTCAGATTAGCCCAAGGGATGTGCAGTGAATGGACTAAACAGCCCCACAGCAGCAGGGGCACTTGGGTGAGCTCCCAGCAGGCAGAGAGCCCTGGGCAGCACACAGGTGGCTCTCCCCTGCCAGGCTGAAAGCCATGGCAGCTCCCATCACCACAGCCATGGGAAGAGAATAGGTGAGAAAGTGGCAGACTTGGCAGCAGGCAGTGACCCAATGACGTGCTGAAGTCTTGAGGAAGTGATCCAAGCAGGAGTCGGAGCTTCTCTTTAAAGGCTGGGAACTCAAGGGAGCTCGTCACACTAGTACCAGACTGGTGTGGGTTTGCCAATAAACAAGTGGTTGGGCTACCAACATCCTCTGCAACACAGATTGCCCACTAGTCACACTGCTTCAAAAAGGAAAAGGCAGACACTGGTTTCTCTTCATTAAGACCCTGTAGGACACCACAGGACATGAGCAAGCTTGCAGTGGGAGCCATGGGCCTCCCTCCACCACCTGCTACAGCCACCCTATGTCCTGCAAACACCCCAAGCAGGAAGATTGCTCTTTCTCCATCTCCTGATTCCAAAAGCTCAGCTCATCTCAAGGAGGCAGCAGTTTCCCGCAAGAAGCCTTTCCCTGGAGATAAGTACTTTTACATTGGGTTGGAGAGCAGTCAGATGGGACTGTCCTCAACCCCCAGAGCAGTCGGATGGGACTGTCCTCAACCCCCAGAGCAGTCGGATGGGACTGTCCTCAACCCCCAGAGCAGTCAGATGGGACTGTCCTCAACCCCCAGAGCAGTCGGATGGGACTGTCCTCAACCCCCAGAGCAGTCGGATGGGACTGTCCTCAACCCCCAGAGCAGAGTTTCACAGACAGCAGTGCTCTCTGCAGAAAGCAGACCTCCCCACAGCAAGCCTTTTCACAAGCCCCTGTCACCAGGCAGGATGTAACACAGAGCAGACAGAGGAAGGGCTGAGCTAAGGTGGGCTCATGGAGAAAAGGGCTGCCCACCACAGCCACTGATGTGCATGAGCACCCTAGGGTGCCCAGGCTATCATGGAGAGGAGGACGGTCTTCCCCTCTGTGCAGGCACCCACACCTCATCACACAAGTAGCACTCCCACCTCCAGAGGTGCATCAGCTATGACCAGACAACCACCATTTAATAGGTGAATTAATTGCATGGAGTAAGTCTCAAGTTCCTGCAGGTGATGCCACCAGACTGCCCACAGGGATGCTCAGTTTGACCTTCAAAGTCATTGTCCCTCTCAGCATCCCAGCCAACATGTAGTACAGTTTGTAAAGAGCCTGCTGGTCTCAATCTTAAGAAATTACTTTTAAATAAGACATTAGGCTGTTTAATCAGTTCCTGAAACTACGTGTTTGTGGTGCTTACACCACTCCGCATGGCTGCCTGATCCCTGCACCTACTCATGGTGGGCACACACATGAGTTCTGCTGCTCTTTTGAGGACAATATTCTTAAGCTGCATGAAATTATACTTAACATTTCGACAACTGTGTCTGTAATAAGGCCCCTTTCTCACATGGGCCACGTGTGATGCTCGCAGGGACTGTACAACACAGCATGGTCACACCTGAGACTCTATGGCCTAAAGCCTCCAGAAACAACAGTGAAAAAGTGAGAAAAAAGCATTTCCAAAGGGCTGGTGATCAGTGAGCTCACCTGCAGCCACCTGAGCTGGTACAGCAGCATGATGCTGACAGATACACTCTACTCTCAAGGGACACCTGAGCATTGCTATTAGCTGAACACTGAGTCACAGCATTTCTGGAAGGTCCTCAGCAAAGGACTGGGCTTCAATACAAGCACAGACAGAATGACTGGTCCAAGCTCAGCAACATGAAAACAGCAGGAGAAAGCAGAACTTGGATGGGAAGAGAACTCCTGCATTAAATTGCAGCCTGAGGGAGGCACTTCCCAGCATTTGCAAACCTATGGAAGCAGTCACTACAAAGTGACAGTTTCCCTTTTCCAGCCATGTTACCCAGGGTATTTACTAGGAAGCTATTCCAAAGTTTCACTCCTCTTGTGGCTAAAGGTCGTCTTAACTCCCACGTTAAGTTTACCAATGGCAACTTTAAGTGCATTGACTTCTGTGGCAATACTGTCCTTCATGTCTGAGGATTCTGCTCCTGTAACATTTACTGCAACACTTCTGCAGACAGCAGTAACTTCTGTCCACCTCCATTACACATGGCCACATAACCAAAGCTCTTTCAGTCTCCCACCATAAGCCATCACCTTCACAGCACTTTACATGTGTACCACACAGTCCCTTTCCTCCCTCCAGCTCCAGGACTGAGGCAGGCTCAGAGCAGACATCCTGGTTGCAGGTTGCTCACCCCACATGCGCTGCAGAGCCCCCCGGCAGGGGCACGAGGAGCTCACCTGGAACGCTGTCTGGCTGTTGTAGTTGCGAATCTCTTTGCTGGCACCGCGGAAGAGGAGAACCCGAGCACAGCTCTCCTGTAGAGGCAAGCGAGGGGTAAGGGGTAGAGGCCAGTTAGCATCACAGACAACAGAGCAGCCAAACCACGCAGAGGCACTGTGCTCAGAAAGCTTGCCTTGGAAAGGGCCCAGAAGGATGCTCAGCACTACCATCGGGGCACCCCAACCCAAGCTGGCCAAGTCCACCCATCACCACGGCTGTCCCCAAGCATCAGCCCAGGAGCACAGGGGCTACCCCATGTTCCCAGCTACTGGCATTTCCTAAAGCCTTTTACTGGCTTTGCATTGGGTGCTGTGTGCTTCTAACCAACGTTAATGCATGCTTACAAGCTCCCGCACTGTTTAGTGCTGCTCTATCATCCACACAGGGGACAGGCACTTGGGTATCAGGTTCCTTGAGATGCTGAACACACCCATCACCTAACAAGCCACAAATGAGCCTCTGCATACCACTGCCTATGACAGTGGTCAATGTTTAAAGCGTGCACACCTCAGAAACTGAAAATTCCCTTTGTAATTAAAAAACACATAATACAAGGTACAAAAATCCCTGGGAAGAACAAAACCTATGGGAGAAATCCTTAGATACTGACCTCCAGACCTCAGGAAGAGAACAATAGGTGCAAGAGCTCAGAGACTCCTCTGCCACCCTCAACTCCTCCTGAACTGAGGTGAGAGTGACCACACAGAAAATTAAACAGAAACGATGCCTACATCACCTGGGCAGTCTTCAGAGCTCAGAGAGTAGCGGCAAGATTTTAGAGCCACTGGTGACCAAGACCCACAGGCCTTCCTCAGAGCAGGGCAAAGCCCAAGACCTGCCCAACAAGCCCTGCCTGAACCATGGGCCCACCTTAAATTCAGTGTGACCACCTGGGTCAAATTAGCACCTTCCACCCAGGACACTGCCCCCTCCCCACCCACAGTGGGGCTTCACTGGGAAGGAGCAACAGGAATCAGAGGGAAATGACAGAACACCTGAGGCAGTGAATCAGCAAAACCAGCTTGGGAAGGGGAACAAATTGACCCAGGGGCTCCTCCCTGGCCACCTGCCTCTGGAGAAATCCCAAATCAGGCTGGGGCTGCACACAGGAACAGCCCCATCCCAGCACAGATACAGGCTTTAACCCGCCCGAGGGGAGACTGAGCTGAGCTCTTAGGCAGAAGCTCTTCCCTGTGAGGGTGCTGAGGCGCTGGCACAGGGTGCCCAGAGAAGCTGTGGCTGCCCCATCCCTGGCAGTGTTCAAGGCCAGGTTGGACACAGGTGCTTGGAGCAAGCTGCTCCAGTGGAAGGTGTCCCTGCCCGTGGCAGGGGTTGGGACTGGATGAGCTTTATGGTCCCTTCCACCTATACTGTGATTCTGTGATTCTAATTCACGCAGAGGTACCTGGTTGTAGAGAGCACAAATGTGAAGAGCGGTGTTTCCTGAGGCATTCTGCGCAGTCATATCAGCTCCATAGAAGAGAAGATGCTCCAGGTGCTGAACATGGCCATAGCGACATGCCTGCTCCAAACACAAAACGGGAAAATCAGGGAACAGCAGATAGATGCTGGATTCATCCATGCTAGAAAAGGTGAATGAGGCTGGACCTGTGACCTGAAATGTCCCATCAACACGCATGAAGACACACTGTTGTTGCAATAAGCACACCTAACAGCAGTATGAACCTGAATGATCATGGGACAAATTACCTTGGGATCGACTGCAAGTTTGGATCAGCATCATGCTGGTACCAGAGCCCTGCACACACTGTTTGCTATCTCAGTATCACTGCCCAGTGAAAGGATCCCTGAAGCACAAGCAGGCGAAGAGGAGGACAGTGGCCCTCCATCACCAGTAACTGCTGTGCTGTTTTGCTCTACAATTTATCTCTCCTGGGACCAGCAGTCCTCAAAGATCTGCTCAGGCAATGTAGGACAGAGGCAGAAGGAGGACAGTAAATCAAGATCACAGACACACATCTCTTGGTTTTATATCCTCATGCTCACCTGTCCAATACTCGTCCACCTTCAGGAGCTGAAAGCTGGGTGCTTCAAGAGGCCATGGGCCCAAAGCCAAGCTGCCCCCCAACAGTTCAAGACAAGAGGACTCTAAGCAGAGCCAGAGCATCTTCCCTTCTCCCAAAAGGTCTTACCCTTGAAGCACAAAGCCAGCTCAGGTTCCCTAACTCCTACCCCATGTCTTCCATACACCAAATCCACTTGTCAGTGTGTAACGCAGGGACAGACACAACTGTGGTTTGGAACCAGGGTGCCTCAGGCAGCGGACCAAGATCCCAAACACTGTCCTATGAGCCAGACATAACCTGGGGAGGATCCCAGGCACTACTGACCATCCTGAGCATTGACCTGGGATGGCAGCCAGAGCTGGCACACCAAGTTCAAGTGCTTCACACTGGAGCCAGGCCTCCGTGCTGAGCAGTGCCTGCCTGGCCTGCAGCACCTAGAGGAGGAGATGAGCCCTCCATTGGCAGCAGGACAGGGGTCATCCCATGCAGGTCCCATCCCACCTGGTGGATCTCCTGCCAGCCGTTCTCATCCACGCAGCCGAGCCGGGCATAGTCGTGCAGCAGGAGCTCGCAGCAGTAGGGATCGCCCCCCACCATGGCGCTGTGGTACAGCGGCGTCAGCCCCCGGCTGTCCTTGTAGTCTGGGGAGGCACCGAGGTCCAGCAGCGTCTGCAAGAGAAGCGCAGCTTCACTGTGCTCAGGGACTGTGCACTGGGAAAGCCTGGCCCAGAATGGGGCCAGGGGTGCTCCAGCCACAGCAGCACAGGGATCACCCCAGCACAGAACCACAGCATCAACCGGGTTGGGAAAGCCCTTCAAGCTCATCCAGTCCAACCGTTCCCAGCACTGCCAAGGCCACCACTGACCCATGGCACTGAGGCCTCGTCTCCACGCTGTGTGAGCACTTGCAGGGACGGTGCCTGCAGCCCTGCCCTGGGCAGCCTGTTCCAATGCCTGAGCACCCTCTGGGGCAGGAATTGTTCCTCAGCTCCATCTAAACCTGCCCTGGGGCAGCTTGAGGCCGTTTCCTCTTGTCCCATCCCTTGTTCCTTGGGAGCAGAGCCCAGCCCCTCCTGGCTCCATTCTCCTGTCAGGCACTTGTAGGGAGCCATCAGGTCCCCCTGAGCCCTCTGACCCCCCCAGGTCCCTCAGCCCTTCCCCGTCACGCTCACCAGCAGCGCGGCGTGGTTGCGGCACCGCACGGCCCTGTGCAGCGCCGTCATCCCCTCGCGCGTGCGGAAGTCCAGGTGCGCGCCCCCGTTGCGCAGGGCCTTGATCATGTCGGTGCTGAGCTCCAGCTGGGCCGCCGCCGTCAGCGGACACTCTGTGGGCATGGAGAGACAGCACCAGAGACACAGCTCAGCACCAGAGACACTGCTCAGCACCACAGACACTGCTCAGCACCACAGACACTGCTCAGCACCAGAGACACTGCTCAGCACCACAGACACTGCTCAGCACCAGAGACACTGCTCAGCACCAGAGACACTGCTCAGCACCAGAGACACAGCTCAGTACCACAGACACTGCTCAGCACCAGAGACACTGCTCAGCACCACAGACACTGCTCAGCACCACAGACACTGCTCAGTACCACAGACACTGCTCAGCACCAGAGACACTGCTCAGCACCACAGACACTGCTCAGCACCAGAGACACTGCTCAGCACCACAGACACTGCTCAGCACCAGAGACACTGCTCAGCACCACAGACACTGCTCAGCACCACAGACACTGCTCAGCACCAGAGACACTGCTCAGTACCAGAGACACTGCTCAGCACCAGAGACACTGCTCAGCACCAGAGACACTGCTCAGCACCACAGACACTGCTCAGCACCAGAGACACTGCTCAGTACCAGAGACACTGCTCAGCACCACAGACACTGCTCAGTACCACAGACACTGCTCAGCACCAGAGACACTGCTCAGCACCACAGACACTGCTCAGCACCAGAGACACTGCTCAGCACCAGAGACACTGCTCAGCACCACAGACACTGCTCAGCACCAGAGACACTGCTCAGCACCAGAGACACAGCTCAGTACCAGAGACACTGCTCAGCACCAGAGACACTGCTCAGCACCACAGACACTGCTCAGCACCAGAGACACTGCTCAGCACCAGAGACACTGCTCAGCACCACAGACACTGCTCAGCACCAGAGACACAGCTCAGTACCAGAGACACTGCTCAGCACCAGAGACACTGCTCAGCACCACAGACACAGCTCAGCACCACAGACACTGCTCAGCACCAGAGACACTGCTCAGCACCACAGACACTGCTCAGTACCACAGACACTGCTCAGTACCACAGACACAGCTCAGCACCACAGACACTGCTCAGCACCACAGACACTGCTCAGCACCAGAGACACTGCTCAGCACCAGAGACACTGCTCAGCACCACAGACACTGCTCAGCACCAGAGACACTGCTCAGCACCAGAGACACTGCTCAGCACCAGAGACACTGCTCAGTACCACAGACACAGCTCAGCACCACAGACACTGCTCAGCACCAGAGACACTGCTCAGCACCACAGACACTGCTCAGCACCAGAGACACTGCTCAGTACCAGAGACACTGCTCAGCACCACAGACACTGCTCAGTACCACAGACATTGCTCAGCACCAGAGACACAGCTCAGCACCACAGACACTGCTCAGCACCAGAGACACTGCTCAGTACCAGAGACACTGCTCAGCACCACAGACACTGCTCAGTACCACAGACATTGCTCAGCACCAGAGACACTGCTCAGCACCACAGACACTGCTCAGCACCAGAGACACTGCTCAGCACCAGAGACACTGCTCAGCACCACAGACACTGCTCAGCACCAGAGACACTGCTCAGTACCACAGACACAGCTCAGCACCAGAGACACTGCTCAGCACCAGAGACACTGCTCAGCACCAGAGACACTGCTCAGCACCAGAGACACTGCTCAGCACCAGAGACACTGCTCAGCACCACAGACACTGCTCAGCACCAGAGACACTGCTCAGCACCAGAGACACTGCTCAGCACCAGAGACACTGCTCAGCACCAGAGACACTGCTCAGCCCAGAGACACTGCTCAGCACCAGCACTGCTCAGCAGACACTGCTCAGCACCAGAGACACAGCTCAGCACCAGAGACACTGCTCAGCACCAGAGACACTGCTCAGCACCAGAGACACTGCTCAGTACCACAGACACTGCTCAGCACCAGAGACACTGCTCAGCACCAGAGACACTGCTCAGTACCACAGACACTGCTCAGCACCACAGACACTGCTCAGCACCACAGACACTGCTCAGCACCAGAGACACTGCTCAGCACCACAGACACTGCTCAGCACCACAGACACTGCTCAGCACCACAGACACTGCTCAGCACCACAGACACTGCTCAGCACCAGAGACACTGCTCAGTACCAGAGACACTGCTCAGCACCACAGACACAGCTCAGCACCAGAGACACTGCTCAGTACCAGAGACACTGCTCAGCACCAGAGACACAGCTCAGCACCAGAGACACAGCTCAGCACCAGAGACACTGCTCAGCACCAGAGACACTGCTCAGCACCAGAGACACTGCTCAGTACCAGAGACACTGCTCAGCACCACAGACACTGCTCAGTACCAGAGACACTGCTCAGCACCACAGACACAGCTCAGCACCAGAGACACTGCTCAGCACCACAGACACTGCTCAGCACCACAGACACTGCTCAGCACCACAGACACAGCTCAGCACCAGAGACACTGCTCAGCACCACAGACACTGCTCAGTACCAGAGACACTGCTCAGCACCACAGACACTGCTCAGCACCAGAGACACTGCTCAGCACCACAGACACTGCTCAGCACCACAGACACTGCTCAGTACCAGAGACACTGCTCAGTACCACAGACACTGCTCAGTACCACAGACACTGCTCAGTACCACAGACACTGCTCAGCACCAGAGACACAGCTCAGCACCAGAGACACTGCTCAGTACCAGAGACACTGCTCAGTACCACAGACACTGCTCAGCACCAGACACTGCTCAGCACCAGACACAGCTCAGCACCAGTGATAGCCCCGTGCACCAGTGCCTGTCCCAGCACCACCAGCAGCATCCAGAGCTGTCCCACAGCTGGTTCCTCACTGCCTCATGTCACCACCAGCCAGCTCCAAATGTGAACCACCCACCCCAGATGGGAGCAGCTTCCCTGGATCCCGTGACCTCCGCTCACCTCCAGGGAGCCCAGCGGCAGAGCCCACACAAACTGCATCAGTCCCGCTCCGAGCAGTACCAGCCCTAAGCCCAGTGCTGCCCAGAGCCTGGGGCTCGCTCCGTTGCGGGATATAATGGAGCAAGTATGGGAATGCCTTCAGTGGAGATCCCCACCAGCCCCAGCCCTGCTCTGCTGCTGCTCTGGGGTGCAGGAGCCCCCATCGTTCTCTGCCGCTGCCTGCAGGGCGGGCAGAGGCTCTTCCCATGGGAGCTGCTACATCCTTCCCCCAGGGGCTCGGTGTCCTTGTCCTCTCTGAGCCCCACGGACATGGGTCACGCACCCTCCTCGGAGGGGTCACGGCGCTGACACGGGACCAGGCTTCTGCCCTACCCCAGCAGTGCTGCTGGACCCGAGCTGCAGAGGGACCGTGCTCACCTGCCCACAGCTGATGCGATAGAGGAGGAGGCAAAATGTTCATTCACATAAAATGAGTAAAGTCCCCTTGTGAGGCAGAACATTTTTCTGACCATTTTGATTCTAATAAAGTGAATTTGTTTTCCTCAGAGTGCACTATGGAAAAGAAAAGCACGTCTCCTTTCTCCAACAAATCCCTCTGTCTGTAGATCCAAACCTCCACACCGTGAATGGAGGATGTGAACACTGCCTAAAACAAGGTGCCTCAAAAATACAGTCGAGTCTTTTTTAGAAAGGTCCCTCATTTGCACATAAATTAGAATTTCTCTCTTTACTAGAAATAACTGTTTAAAAGAGGACAATAAATGGTCTGAGATACAAATAAGAAAGCAGATGGTGATTCGTTCCAGGGCATTGCTGCTAGGCACAGTTTGAAACACGAAGGTGGAGGGCGGATGGTTCTGTGGCTTTGCTGAAATTCTGGGCCTGTGCTACAAGACACCGATAGAGGAAATGAGGATTGCTGAAGCCTCGTCACAAGGATTAAAGATGGGTTCATCGGTAACAGGAATCACCAGTAAACGACACACACACAGACACACAGACGCACACACAAAAACACACACAGGCGCACACACAAAAACACACAGAGACACACAGGCGCACACACAAAAACAGACACAGGCGCACACACAAAACCACACACAGACACACAGACGCACACACAAAAACACACACAGACACACAGGCACACACACAAAAACAGACACAGGCGCACACACAAAACCACACACAGACACACAGACGCACACACAAAACCACACACAGACACACAGACGCACACACAAAAACAGACACAGGCGCACACACAAAACCACACACAGACACACAGACGCACACACCAACACACACACAGACACACAGGCGCACACACAAAAACACACACAGACACACAGGCGCACACAAAAACACACACAGACACAGACGCACACACAAACACACACACAGACACACAGGCGCACACACAAAAACACACACAGACACACAGGCGCACACAAAAACACACACAGACACAGGCGCACACACAAAAACACACACAGACACACACACAAAAACACACACAGACACACAGGCGCACACACAAAAACACACACAGACACACAGGCGCACACAAAAACACACACAGACACAGGCGCACACACAAAAACACACACAGACACACAGGCGCACACAAAAACACACACAGACACACAGGCGCACACAAAAACACACACAGACACAGACGCACACACAAACACACACACAGACACACAGGCGCACACACAAAAACACACACAGACGCACAGATGCACACAAAAACACACACAGACACACAGACGCACACAAAAACACACACAGACACAGGCGCACACACAAAAACACACACAGACACACAGGCGCACACACAGAAACACACACAGACACACAGGCGCACACAAAAACACACACAGACACACAGGCGCACACACAAAAACACACACAGACACACAGACGCACACAAAAACACACACAGACACAGGCGCACACACAAAAACACACACAGACACACAGACGCACACAAAAACACACAGACACACAGGCGCACACAAAAACACACACAGACACACAGGCGCACACACAAAAACACACACAGACACACAGGCGCACACAAAA